GCTTCCTCACCTGGAGCGCTTCCTCACCTGGAGCGCTTCCTCTAACACGGAACGCTTCCTCACACGGGGCGCTTCCTCCAACACAGAACACTTCTTCACACAGAACACTTCCTCTAACACGGAATACTCCCTCACATGGAGCACTTGCTCACACAGAGTGCTTCCTGACACAGAGCACTTCCTGACATGGAACGTTTGAAACTGCCATTGAGAATAATCATTTTTCCTTTTGGTTGTAACAATAAAATGGGAAAATGACAGCCATGTGACATCATGGGGTCATTGTGAGGCTCCGGTATGTTAGGCTGTGACAAGGCAAAGAGCCTTTCAGACGTTAGTTGTCTTTTTTATTACTCGACGCAAGGAAATCTCTAAGCTGTGTCTCCCAGGGACAGTGTCTGGCCTTCATTTGAGCCGTCTGCGAGTCCTGCCAGATAAGGACTGAGACTTGCTCACTTTTTGGACAGGGCTCTGAGCCCTCTCCATGAATAGGCTTTGCAGAGAGGCACGAAGAACATCAGGTTTGTATTTTCTGTGAGGAGGCATCTTGTACAGCCTTGGCGAGGAGGAAGGTGCACTTCCCCAGCGACCCTTGGAGCAGCCCAGGGTGCTGTGGGCATTGGGAAGGAAGACCAGCACCAGCCCCTTGTAGCTCCCCTGACGTTGGGGGCTTGTCCCTTTATCTCAGGCTCAAGTCAGTATCATTGTTTGGTGACAGGTCTTCATTTTTACATTGAAGAAAATTTGAAAAGGAATGAAATAATCCTTGAGATCTCTTTTTGCAGGAAATTGTGAACAGAGGATCCGACACAGACGTCTGGAAGACCATCCTCTCAGAGGTCCGCTTTGTGCACGTGAACACTTCTGCGGTCTTAAAGGTAAGGACACTGTCCCTGGCTTGGCCTGTCCTGAGCTGCAGGCTCCAGTCTGTTCCCCGAGCCCCTCAGGCTCCACTGCCTCTGCAGGCAGAACGCTTGATTCGAGTCATTGTGGCTTCCCTTTACACTGAGGGAGGGCGGCTTTTGTAACTTCTCGGGATGGAATCCTAAGGTGAAGCTCCCACAAGGGGCACCTGCTGACAGCGTGACCCGGGCAGGGGTTCCCCTTCCAACCCGAGTGGATGTGGGAGCACAGCCTTCCCATCACGCCCTTTTCTCTCCCGTGGTGTCACCAGCTGAGCGGGGCTCACCTCCCTGACTGGGGGTATCGGCAGCTGGAGATCGTCGGGGAGAAGCTGTCCCGGGGCTACCACGAGAGCATGGTGTGGAACGTGGAGGAGCACCGATACGGCGCGAGTGAGTCCGCGGCGTGGCTTCCGCCACTGGGAATGCGCTTTGAGCTGCTCGATATTTTCCTAACATCCCAAACAGTTCTCATTTTGGTGGGAAGGGAACTGAGCACATTCTCCATGCTCAGTGGCAGGTCATCTCCCTCCCTGCACCCAGCTGCTGTGGTAACAACTCAAGATGCTTCTTCCGAGGCATCGCTGGAAGGCAGCCAGTTTATCCCTGTGCAAGTGGAGCCTTCTCGGTCGAAATCGCCTCATTTGACGGGGTAGTCTTGAGTGTGGCGGGGAAAGCTAAGTGGAGTGATGCGGTTCGATGAGGGTCTTTGTGGCTTGTTGGAAAGGCAGGAAGCCAGCTTTTTGCTGCGCTGACAGCTTCTGCTCTGAGCTCTTGACCTTGTGCTACTTCTATCTGTTATGCCCTTGTCTCTTCTGCCAGGCCAGGAGCAGAGGGAGCGGGAACGGGAGCTGCACTCACCTGCACAGGTGGACGTCAGCAGGAACCTCAGCTTCATGGCGAGATTCTTGGAGCTGCAGGTGAGGAGCAGCCAGGGGAAGCCAGCCTAGCTCACTGAGCACTGACTCCTCAGCTGGGAGGCCTGGGGGCTACACAGGTCTCAAACCAGGTCAGGCTTTGACGCTGGAACTACAGGCTCACCACAGAATGAGTGTCTCCTCTCTCCAGTATAAGGGACTGTGTGTGACACCCTGGCCCACACCTTGTGGCCCTGTGGTCAGGAATAACATAGGGACCCAGGAGGTTCTGCAACATCGCCAGGGTGTCTTAAGGCCCCCAGGCAGCAAAATGGGCCACACTCAGCAGAGCCTAAGAGAAGTCACAGAAACTCCGGGTCACAAATCCGAACGTGACCTTAGAGAGCATTCGGCCCGGTCACTTAGTCTACAGAGGAGGTGACTGGAGCGCATAGGGTGGGGCGATGCTCCCAAGGCCACAGCCGGGGCTGGAATCCAGGTTCTGATCATGCTGCCTCTGACGCGTGATCCAAATGAACTTGAGGTGGGACGGTCTGTGTGCAAGGGGCAGCGGTGTACTCCTTTGACCAAATCCACGCACAGCGGGAGGCATCCCCCATCCTCACTCTCAGAGGCCTCTGCTTTGTTCCAGTGGAGGATGCTGGCGCTGAGAAGCGATGACTCGGAACACAAGTACAGCTCCAGCCCGCTGGAGTGGGTCACCCTGGACACCAATATTGCCTACTGGCTGCACCCCAGGACCAGCGTAAGCGAGCAGTGCTGACAGCTGACAGTCATGGATTCATCCTGTTTCTTGAGAATTCCTTCTGGCATTAAGAGCAGCCACTGTACCCTAGAAAGTGCTGGGTTTCTCCAAAGCTTTTCCTGACAAACTTGCTTTTCTGTAAACGCTTTGGCAGCCTGGAGCCAGGAGTAGGGGCGTGGCATGTGTGCCTGCTGAAGGAAACGCGGCTTGATTGCTTTTGTGGAGACACGTTGTTCCCCTTTTCCTGGCGGAAGTGGTTTTAAGATGTTCCCATTCGATTTTCTGGGTGGCACCTGGCGGTGGAGCTTGCCGGCGCTTCGTTGATGTGCATGCCGTCTCTCTCCACCCGGCAGAGTGAAAGCATTTGTAGGCTAGGCACAGTCAGTGCCCCATACATATTCACTGGATGGGCAGACGCTAGCAATGCCCACCTTTTTCCTCCTCTCTCAAAGGCGGGTAGGTCGACTCAGCACGTGCACCAAAGGCAGAGGCGCAGGCCCAGAGGCCGCCCCACCCTGAGCTCCGAGCGCACTTTGCATTCTCCTCTGCGGACAGTGCTGCTGTTACAAAGCGGAGCCATCTGCTCCCGGTCTTCAGTTTCCAATTACAAAACTGAGAGCATCAGTGCTTTTTTTTTCTTTTTGTGATGGAGTCTTGCTCTGTTGCCCAGGCTGGAGTGCAGTGGTGTGATCTTGGCTCACTGCAACCTCCACCTCCCACGTTCAAGCAATTCTGCAATTCTCCTACCTCACCCTCCAAGTAGCTGGGATTACAGGTGCCCACCACAATGCCCAGCTAATTTTTGTACTTTTAGTAGAGACAGGATTTTACCGTGTTGGGCAGTCTGGTCTCGAACTCCTGACCTCAGGTGATCCATCCACCTCAGCCTCCCAAAGTGCTGGGATTACAGGTGTGCACCACCGCGCCCGGCTGGCACCAGTGCTTTTAATGAAAGGTCTGAGTAGGCGCAGACCTGTCCACAGTAGTGGTAAGGCCTAGTGGACTCTACACTGTGCCTGGCGTGTTTTCACTCTGCTGAAGTAGCGCATGCATCTGAATTCCTTTCCTGTGTTCTCTTCCCTCCCTGAGCAGAGGGCGGGGGGCTAACAGCATCTTCCATGTTCCTTTAGGCTCAGATCCACCTACTTGGAAACATAGTGATCTGGATTTCAGGCAGCCTTGCCCTGGCCATCTACGCCCTGCTGTCCTCGTGGTACCTGCTGCGACGGCGAAGAAACATCCATGACCTCCCTCAGGGTTAGTACATCTCCTATGTGGCTTTTTTCCTTTTAATATAGAGATGGGGTCTTGCTGTGTTGTCCAGGTTGGTCTTGAACTCCTGGGCTCAAGCCGTCCTCCTGCCTCGGCCTCCCACAGTGCTGGGATTACAGGTGTGCGCCACTGTGCCCGGCCCACAGCTCATTTTTATGTCTGTTCCTCCTCTTCCTGCTGAGCGAGCGTTCACCACCTCAGGTGACAAACCGACTTCATAGGAACCTACCCCTTAAGGCAGCCTCTTTGTTTCTGTATTGCAGGATCTTAAATTATGTTTGTCTCTCAAGAGACAAAATGTTAAGTTCCCATGTTGCGTTAGAGGCACCTCCATTTGAGTGCAGTGTATGGGCCAAGAGTTGCCTCCTTGGTCCCATGTTGCCCATATGCGCTGGAAATGGCTGGATAACACGGGCAGCCAGGCCGGGCGCAGGGGCTCACGCTTGTAATCCCAGCACTTTGGGAGGCCAAAGTGAAGGAATCACTTGAGGCCAGGAGTTCAAAACTAGCTTCGGCAACATAGTAAGACCCCTGTCTCTAAAAAAGCGAGAGAGAGAGAGAAAATCCGGCCTGTGGGAGCAGCAGAGCCGGTGTAGCTCAAACGCTTTCCTGTAGATGCCTGGCTGCGCTGGGTGTTGGCTGGGGCGCTGTGTGCTGGTGGCTGGGCAGTGAACTACCTCCCGTTCTTCCTGATGGAGAAGACACTCTTCCTCTACCACTACCTGCCCGCACTCACCTTCCAGATCCTTCTGCTCCCTGTCGTCCTGCAGCACATCAGCGACCACCTGTGCAGGTACGGGGGCCGCGGAGACAGTGGCTAGACCAGGCAGCAGCTCTCTGCTGGACAGCCCATGTGCAGCAAACACGTGAGGTGCAGCGAACCCCACCCATTTCACGTTACACTGACATCCTCCTGGCCCCGCCGGGGAATGGGTGAGGTTCAGAAGAGATGGCCAGATGAGGCACTGCGGGAACCCAGAGGGAGAAGTCACGGCTGACAGAGATGAAAGCAGAGTGGGTAGTAAGATGGGGAAGGGATGCAGAGATGTGGGCGGCCTGGAGGATTCGGGAGCAGGGAGCAAGGCCCAGGAGCCTCAGGGTGGCAGGAACAGCAGCTGGTTACGGCCGGGTTGTGTGGTGTGGTGGAGAGAACCGAAGAAAACTTCTAAACCGGAGTGTGTTTGGAGGTTGGAGGGCAAGGGCCTCCCCGTCTCAGGAAGCCACACAAGGGAGGACTGTGGGTTTGGGACCAGTCCTCTGGCATCTGTGTGGAGGTGGCCCAGCCGCTGTGGAGGCCTGAGTCGTCAGGGGGTCCCCTTTCTGTGCATCCAAGCGGGAGATGGTCACAGGTGGTGGGAGACAAGACACACAAACCTGAAGGCAGAACCCCAGGCCTCGGGGGGCGACCGTGGGGACAGCAGATGCCAAGAGGCTGCTGGACAGGGAAGCCGTAGTGGCCAGCCATCCTCCCCCACGTTGCTCTGACCTCTGCAGGTCCCAGCTCCAGAGGAGCGTCTTCAGCGCCCTGGTGGTGGCCTGGTACTCCTCCGCATGCCACGTGTCCCACACGCTGCGCCCACTCACCTACGGGGACAAGTCACTCTCGCCACATGAACTCAAGGCCCTTTGCTGGAAAGACAGCTGGGACATCTTGATCCGAAAACACTAGAACAAGAGCGTGGCAAAGAACACCCGAGCTGGGGTCGGGACAAGGTCGAAGGGTCTTGGTCAGTGTAGTTAACGAGCAGGGTGGGCCCCGCGCTGGGAGGACATGGGCCAGGCTCGGCAGGGCCTCCACTGGAACGCGTGGGAGTCTCATTCTTGAAGAGCCCTCTGGTGAGCACCTCCTTTTGTGCAAAGTTCATTTTTTCTCCTCAACAATGAAGATGTTCCCTCCATGTCTTCACCCCTGAGCTAAGACACAGGGAGTATTTCAGCGGCCAGTGTAGGAGTCATCGATGAAGAAAAGCCGAGAACCCAAGGCCAGCAGTGGAGCAAGTGGCCTCAGCAGACCGGGGCCTGGTCCTTGCTAACCGCTGCAGGGTGGAGTTTGATCTGGCAGACCCGATCCTCCTTCATGAACACCCAGCAACCTGAGCAAGTCCCAGCCCTGCCCTGAGTGAGCCCGGCAGGCGTCCCGGGACAGGCGTTCAGGAGGGCCGCCTGAACAGTGAGCAGGGGCTGGGGCTTGTGAGTCATTCTCTGTGACAGCATCAAGACTGGCCCTCCGCACCATGCTGTGTGGAAGCCCTCCTGAGCCTGCCGAGACCCGGCTGAGTGAAATCTTCCTCAGTGGTCGAGGTGTGTGTCATCCATACAGCTCCTTGCCTTTACTTTGTCTTTTTAAATATAATAATTAAAAAAAGGACAAACTGGCATTTGTAGTTGGTGTTATTTATTGATTCTTCCTCCAAAGGGGCCTAAGTGCGACCAAACCGTTACCCTTGTCAGAACCCAGCCACAGAGCTCAGCTCCCTTCACCCACGCCATGTCTGCGTCACTACTGTGGGTGAGCCTGGATGGATGGGGGCTGGGGCTGTCCGTGGCAGCAGCAAGTTATGCTTCCCAGAGACAGCCCCATGCGGGAGGATCCACCCAGGCAACCCAGACACGGGTGTTCACACATGAGGCCGCGAGCTCCATACAGCACAGAGGAGGCACACTGACTTCAGGCGGCCATGTCTGCGGGGACCTGGGTGATGCAGGTGCCACAGCCAGAGGCACCATTCCCTGCACATGGCCATCAGCCACCCCGGCGTGGGGCAGCCTGTCCAGACAGCACCTTGGGGACTCCCGTGAGGGTCAGCAAGGGCCCGACCCCAGGCAGGACTGTGCATGGACACTGTTCTTCAGCCAGGACAGAACTGGCCTCCGCTGCCTTCTGCCCTGCTGCATGGGCTCCCGGCCTGGCCCCACATGAGCCTGGGTGTGATGCTGGGTGTTCCCGGGGCGCCCGCCTCGCTTCTCTGCCTTTAAGGCACAAGCAAGGAGGGAAAACATCCCTGGGCGGCTCCCCACATCCGTGTAGGCCATGCTGGACTGGGAACCACTGGGCCATGAAATGAGGTTTGTAGGCCACAAGCAGCCTTGTGTTACGCAACAGAACAGAACAGAAAACATGAGGACATGTAACATGTAAAAAAGAAAGTACTTGTTCACAAAACTTTTGAGTTACGTGTGTGAGTGTGTAAGAACCAGATCAGACTGGAAAAAAACTCTGCCCCTGTGGGTTCACTGTCAGCAAAACACCAGCCAGCCACAGTGTCCAGGCTGTCTCCTCACTCTCCCCAGGAATATGTGCCTCAACCCTCACAGAAGCCGCCTAGGCTTCCCGCACACTCTGGCATTTCTCAGTGACCTAGAGAGAGCTTTAAACCGCAGTGAGCCTGAGGATGCGGCTGAAATCCTCAGGAACGCCTGTCAGTGTCCCAGCAAGTTGAGTCTGAGTGACACATCTGAGTTTCCACTCCTGAGTGAGGAAGGCCTCGCTGCTAACACCCCCCTGGGGTGTGCCAAAAGGAAGCAGTGGGTGTGGGTGGGCGTCCCCAGGCTCAGTCCCTGAACACACATGCCGGGTGGGAGACCTACCCCAAGGCTTGGCAGCCCCTCAGTGTGGTCTGCTGCTGGACTCCAAGTGTGACCGTTTGCCAGAGGTCAGCATCCCAGGGTGGTCCCCTGGCTCGGAAAAGGTCCTCTTGTAGCTCCGCCCATTGGACCCTCCTCGGTGCCATTTGCAGATGTCACCATTCAGAATGTCCTGGATGTGCTGCACGATCAGGTTGATGGCAACTGCGCCAAGAGACAGACAAGCAGCGGGTTAGCCACGTCCATCCCCCATGGAGACTGCCCCTCCCCGCAGCACTCCGCCAGGAGTGGGCGCCCAACCTCTGCCCTGAGGCACAGGCCTGCGTGAGCTGGGCATCGGGTCAAATCTCAGCAGACAGAAACACGCATCAGGACACAGCAAAATAAGACTTCTTAGCTTGGTCTTTCAGGAATTTATGTTAGAGTTGCTTAAAATACTTTCTGCTAACAGGTTTGAATATATATATGTACGTTTTAAGAAACAGGGTCTTACTTTACTGCCCAGGCTGGACTGCAGTGGCCCAATCACAGCTCACTGCAGCCTCAACCTGCCAGGCTCAAGCAATTCTCCCACCTCAGCCTCCCGGGTAGCTGGGACCAGAGGCGCATGCCACCATGCCCAACTAATTTTCTTATTTTTTGTAGAGATGGGGTCTTGCTATGTTCCCCAGGATGTTGAACTCCCGGGCTCAAGTGATCTCCCCGCCTCGGCCTCCCAAAGTGCTGGGATTACTGGTGTGAGCCACCGCGCCCAGCTACATACATTTTTATTATTTATTTATTTATTTATCTATTTTTTGAGACAGAGTCTCGCTCTGTCACCCAGGCTGGAGCGCAGCGGCACAATCTCGGCTCACTGCAAGCTCCGCCTCCGGGGTTCACATCATTCTCCTGCCTCAGCCTCCCGAGTAGCTGGGACTACAGGCGCCCGCCATCACACCCGGCTAATTTTTTTGTCTTTTTTAGCAAAGACTGGGTTTCACCATGTTAGCCAGGATGATCTCCATCTCCTGACCTCGTGATCCACCCGCCGCGGCCTCCCAAAGTGCTGGGATTACAGGCGTGAGCCACCGCACCCGGCCTACATACATTTTTAAGCATATTTTAACCCTGTGCCGCAGATCAACAGTGGCAGGCCTCCAGCACACAGGGGAGTGCTCAGTAACTGCATGCTGGTGGAACTGTCCCTGTCTGAAGCTCTGGGAGGGGTGGGGGGACAGCCCAGCAGGCCAGCTTCTTACCCATATTGTCCACTCCTCGCGGGATGATCACGTCAGCATACTTCTTTGTCTGTAAGGCACAAGGGGCGTTTCCATGAGGACTTTTCCTTCCAAGGTGATTTTAAGATGCTCAGAAACAGATGGGACAGCAGGAAGGGCGGCCCTGGGGTGCTCAGAGGTGCTGGTGTTATCAGCAAATAGGGGACAGGGACTCAGTCCTCAGGTGTGAGATGCCATGATCCAAGAAGTGAGGCAGAAAGTGCAGCTGAGGCAGCCCAAAGGAAGTGCCTCTTCCAGTGTTCCCATTCCATTACAGGAGACAGCTGGCTGTGCTAACGACTGGATTCACTGGGCCAAGCTACGTGTGGCACGTCTACAAAGTGTGACATTGTTCCTCCGGAATTAGGAAGCTTCTGCGATACCCTGGCACAGCAACAGGACAGATGCCACCAAGCATTACTGCTGCAGGCAGGGACACCGGTGGTACCTCACTCCCTCACCCATCCACTCACTGGCTCAATGCTGACTGATTCTCATTCCCTGTCAGATGCTCTGCTGCTGAGGAAGGACAAGGACGGAGATATACCAGGAAATGCAGGGCTGCTGGGGAGGGCCTGCAGCCAGATGGTGGGGGCAGGGCAGGGGGCTTTAGGGAGGGGGAAGCTGCCTGGAGAACATGCCTAAATCAGACAAAGCTGAGGGAAGAGGCAGAGCAGGGTCTGGGCCGAAGGACGGAACTTGGAACGGTGGGTGCTGCTGGCATGTGGATTTGGGTCAAGGAGGCGGCAGAAGAGACAAGCTGCAGGAGGCAGACAGGGACCGAGTCCTGGGGACAGCTGTGTCTGCAGCCGGTGGGACCCCATCTCATGAAAGCATGAGCGCAAGGGCGAGGGCTGCTTTCCCTTCTGGTCTGATCGTCTGACGGGCTGGAGGAGTCCCAGAGTGCTGACAGGGGTCTTAACTGCCAGCAGGGATGGGCCTGAATGCAGTCGGGAAATACCTACGCGGTCTAGGCAGAGGACCGCACAAGCCACTCAACATGAAGATGAAGGAAAAGGAAGCTCAAGAACGGCTCTGGGTGGGGCTGAGGCTGGGTGCGGTGGCTCACACCGGTGATCCCAGTACTTTGGGAGGCTGAGGTGGGTGGATTGCTTGAAGCCAGGAGTCTGAGACCAGCCCAGACAACATAGCAAAACCCTATCTCTGCAAATAAAATAAAATAAAATAAAAGGAAAAATTAGCCAGGCGTGGTGGTGTGTGCCTGTAGTCTCCAGCTACTCAGGAGCCTGAGGTGGGAGGATCACTTGAGTGTGGAAGGTGGAGGCTACAGTGAAGCAAGATCTTACCACAGTACTTGGGCCTGCGCGGCAGAGTGAGATCCTGTCTCAAAAAACAAGCAAACAAACAAACAAATGAAAAACCAAAAACATCTCTGGGGCTTGGGCCCAGGACACAGCAGGTGACAGCACTTCCTCTATTCAGGTCGCTGGGTCAGATTTGATATCCAGAGTTTTACTGCAAATCACTTACTTTAGATCCCAGGAGATGGAGACCAGCCTGGGCAACACAGGGAGATCCCATCTCTACAAAAAATTTAAAAATTAACCGAGCATAGTGGTGCATGCCTGTGGTCCCAGCTACTCGGGTTGCTGAGGTGGAAGGATTGCGTGAGCTTAGGAGGTCAAGGCTGCAGTGAGCTGTGATTGCACCACTGTACTCCAGCCTGGGGCAACAGAGCAAGACTCTGCCTCATTAAAAATTTAAAAAAAAAAAAAAATTGAGCCAGGCACAGTGGCTCAATCCCAGGATTTTGGGAGGCCGAGGCGGGTGGGTCACTTGAGGCCAGGAGTTCGAGACCAGCCTGGGCAACATGGCAAAACCCCATCTCTTCTAAAAATACAAAAATTAGCTGGGTGTGGTGGCACATGCCTGTAATCCCAGCTACTCGGGAGGGTGAGGCAGGAGAACTGCTTGAACCTGGGAGGTGGAGGCTGCAGTGAGCCGAGATCACGCCATTGCACTCCAGCCTGGATGACAAAAGAGACTCTATGTCAAAAAAAAAAAAAAAAAAGCAGCAAATAGAACTTATTTGACCTACGTATCAAAGGCAGGAATCTTGGTTCCAGTTCCTTTGTGCTGTATTTTTACCTTTTAAAGAGAACCGGCAAAATGTTCTCTTTAAAACACTCCAATTTGAGTAGAGCACAAATCCCATCAAGCCTGAAACACAAGATGGAGAAACGGAGGAAAGACAGGTGGGTGTGCAGCGGGGAGTTCCTGCCCTCTGCAAGCCAGCTGGGATCTGTCCACAGTGCTCGCTCTGAGATTTCAGAGCACTGGCCCCAAGCAGCCCGGGGACACAGGCCCTGGAGGAGCAGCTATGAAGCACCTTCTGAGGGCCAGATCCCGGTCCTGGCAGTCAACAGCCTGACGTGCTCTGAGGGGATAAGCACCCAGGACGTGTCAGATGATGAGAAGTGCCCCAGAAAAAGGAAGCAAGCAGAGAGGCTGGCGCTAGGTGCAGAGGGTTTTCAGTGTTGAACGGGGACGCTGGGCAAGGACCTGAGGCAGGGAGGAAG